TTCAAAATGTTGCGTTTCGGGTCGCGTCGTACATAAAGTACCCAAATTATAATACGTAACACGATATTCTAGCCATTTAAAAAGCAGTGGATCAACTGAAGCTCTGATATCTGCTACTTGAAGTGAAATCAAAGGTGGATGCGTTTGTTTATCAATATTTAGTGGAAATTGCATTACAATAGTTAATAGTGCTTTATTTGCTGTATCACTAAAAATGAAAAAAGAATTAATATAGCATTTATTAATATAATATAAATATAATATAGCATTTATTAATATAATATAAATATAATATAGCATTAATTTAGCTAATATATTTAAAATATGCCAACCCATGAATGTTACTTTCTGGTCCCGAAAATATAAAAGCTTGCTGTGACTCATTAAGAGCAAACATTTTTACCGAATTTATACTTAATTCATTTGATATCGTAATTAAAGATGATAATTTTTTACAATTTACGTTTTCTAATAATAATTCCAGATATACAGGATCTAAAATTTTTTTTTGATATCATATATTAAATATTATATATACTATAAATTAAATATTTTTGATTACTATAAAGTAGTACATACTTGTTCTTGGCAAGCATCAATAAATAAAGAAGAACAAATAAGAGGATTTGTTGTATCATTAGAATTCAAAATTGAAGTTATGATAGATATAGCAGCCATTAATTTTGCTTTTGTTCCTGTAATTGTAATACTGTCAATATGTGCTTCATATATTTCATGTATTAAATCGCCATTTTTCCAATACTGTGGATACAGCAATTTTTGAATTTTACATTCAATAGAATAAGGCATTATTATCGATGTATGACAATTTTTTGTTAAATAAAGTTGACTTCTGGCTCCATTGACCTATTAATTAAATATTATTATCATAAAAAAAACATATATTGCATTAATTTTTCCATTACCTGTAATGTAATAATCTTATGACATTGATTAAACATTTCGGTCGGAATATCAGTTTGTTTGGATGCACAAGCTGCAAGCCTAAATGGATATAAAGGTTGGAGCATAGTTAATATTACTTCATCACATTCAATGCTCATATAAGGATCGTCTGTAAGAGCAGGTGTTAATGGTGTTGTCTAAAAAAGTAATGTTAAAAAAAAAGAATAAATAATATTCCAGTAAATATTATTCATTATATATCTATATATATTACTTACTCGACTTTCAACTATCTTTCTTTGTCTTGGAAGTCCTGTAATAGAATGATCTGCTAATTGTAGTTGAAGTGAAGCTTTAACTATTAATAATTTTGTTTCAACCATAGATACATTTTCTCGCAATGCTTCATATTCTTCCAATGTAACTGGAGGAAGTTCGTTTACAAGTGGATCTGATAATTTATAAATATGATTATACAGATAACTTCTATTCATGTAAATATATAATATAATAAATATAATAATCATATATATATATATAATCAAATAATATAAATATACCTGATTTTGTAATGAGATATGGATTATAATCGTAATTTGCGGCAGCTTGTTTTATTGTTTCAATACGGTGAAAAATACCTGAACATAATCTAATAGTTAAATCACCTATAACGTATCTCATTACTCTACGTTCGCGAAAATTACTAAAAAAAAAAGTATATTAATTAAGATTTTTATAATTTTATAAAATTTTAAAATTATTATAAATTTCTTTTAAGGATGTGTTTATTTAATTTAATTACCTATATTCAAAATTAGATCCAAACTCTGCCAATTTTTCAGGTGTTATATCATCTGGCAATTCAACGCAATGAACGTAATCCATAGAAAACGCCGGACATCGTTCCATTAATCGCTCCTCTAGAAATGTTTTAATCTAAATGTTTAAATTCAAAATTATAAATACAGATTTAAAGTTTGATTACCTGAAACTGTAAGTAAATGATAATATATTCCTTGTTTATATTCTCGTTTTTTTCCTTTATTTTCTACTGAATCATCATCAAATAATGAATCTTTTAAGTAACGAGTATTAAAGTTTCCAGCTACTAAATATAAAGGTGGCTAAACGAAATCGTTTATTAGTTTATTAAAAGTTAAAAAGTCATACTTCAAATAAAAAATATTTATAAATTAAAAATTGTAGTATAAAATATTACTTGTGCTCCATCAACTACTTCAAGATGACCACAGCTACATGTTCCTCTTGGATATACACGTATGTAACCCATTCCAATTTGAAAACTAGTCATTGCAATTCCTTGAAGCAATGTATCTACTACTACGCCATTCAATCGCAATGTCAAAAATGATTTATATCGAAGTTTACGAGATTTATAAAACAATTGTTCCTTAACATTTTCGACTGTCTATGTAAAAAAAAAAAAAAATAAAAAAAATAAAAAAATAAAAAAAATAAAAAAAAAAGAAAAAAGAAAGAAAAATAAAATCTATTTATATATTATTTATTTTTATTTATTTTAATAATACCTTAAAAGTTAAGGTTGCATCTTGTATATATATGCCTAAATGAATGGTATGTCCAGAGTATGCCATTTGTTGTTCAGTAGACCAATCATTATCCCAATCGATAGGTAATAAAGATGACACCATATTCCAAGCCCATCCACCCCATCCTGTAGTATCTGTAGTAGTTCCTATCACATGTTCTGTATCATCTAAAAATAATACAAAATATGAAAATCAATGCAATGAAATTTTTTATAATAAAATACCTTGTACACTATCTTCTCTTTCATCTATAGAATTAAGATTTTTCTTATTAGATGGAAATTGCTTTGTTTGCAAAACCATTATCAATGCTGCTAATCTGAGTAACATTGGCACTTGTTGTTCTGTTATACTAAATTCCATTTTTTGGCAATGAAGGTCTAATCGTGTAATAGAAGCTCTTTTTGCAGTATTACTATGATAGTTTATGATTAAACGTATAATAACAGAACATCGATATAAGACAGGATCCTAAATAAAAAGATATATTGTAAAAAAAATTAAATATAAATAAATTTACAATTATAATAAAAAGTAATACTTGATATATTTCTATCTTTCCAGATGCATCCATTTTATCTAAACATAATGTTAGATCTTGAATAGTAATAACTTTTCTAAGCATAACTTCATATCCATTAACATCTGAAAAATATATTATTATATGTATAATTTTAATATTACTAGAAAGATTATTTTTAAAATAATTAAAATATTTTTAAAATAAGATATATACCAGTAAACGCTGGTTCCCATTTGTTATTAACAGTTTGCATGCTTAAGAATCTGACATTGACACTAAGAACAATATCTTCTTCCACATATTTTAGAATTAAATTATTACAATTAATTGTTATATTATTTACAACTTTTGTTACTATGCCTTTTATATAACCAGGAGGAGCTTCTTCCCTATAAATTATATAACAACAAATAAGAATAGTGCATAATATTGTATATTTATTGTATATAGTGCAATATATTGTATATTTTAATAAAAATAACAATTTATTTACTGTGGTATCTCTTGTTTTTTTTGCAAGGAAGAAGGATTAGTTTCCATCTTATTATCATCTTTTAATTTTAAAATGCATTCTAAAATAAAAATTAATTTTTTATTTTCAAGTATTTAACTTTATAAATCTAAACCATATTGTTTAATATTTACCTATTGTATTAATAGTAATCACAATTGGTTCTGAATTAATTTTTACCCAAGGAACATGAATAAGTAATTCATGTATATGACCACTAACAAAAACAAAGGGAAGATTTAGTTGTTCTTCTAGAACCTCCAATCGTAAGTCAAGATTTTGAAATGATGCATCACCACCCCATAAAGAGACCTAAAATACATAATGAAATAATATACATTAGAAAAAAAATATAAATTCTTTTTGGCAAAATCAATTATATGTATTTAATATACCTGAGATTGTTCTGGTTTAAAATTTTTCACATATTTTTCAACATAACTGAGAATCACTGGTGTTATATACGATTCCAATTTAAACATTGTGATTGATAATAATTCAATACATTCCACATACTCTTGTATAAGTTTAATAAATTCATATAAATAAAGAACGTTTTAATTTCTTTTTGATCTATTAATTCATTCAATATGTATAATAAATATATTGATAGAAGAAATAACAAGCACAATGATAAGAAAAAAATATTTATAATATTTAAAAATGCACACAAGTTTATCTGAAAATTATAGAATTATTAAAATTATAAGTATAATCATTAATATGATATAAATAAGAATAAAAATTAAAATAAATATGTATATATAAATTTGCCAATAACATTCATTTTTAAAGCAATTGAATCAAATATTTTTAAAAGGAAAATATAGTAGGGTAAACAGAATTAATAGTCGCTTTGAAAAACATATTTTATTCTATTTTCATTTTAATGAATATAAATTATAACATGCTTTATTTAATGTGTATAAAATAAATATTAACCTTATTAAATATCGGCAGTTGACCATGAAATAAATTGAAGTATAAAAATGCATTTTAAAAATATATATTGCCACTTTGAATGATTTACAATTGACAGTTTTAATCTTAATTTTATATGTTGAAGTTTTATTTATGCTGTCTGCTTTAACCTTTCTAATTTGACGTGCACTGCAGTTGCATGTGCACAGCAATTATAATGCGCATGCGTATCATTTTGAATATTACATAATGAACGAAATTTTAAATTATATATTTATATTGTATATTTATACGCATAAAAAGTTTATAAAATATCAAAATAAACGAATAAAATGAAAATATAATAAAAAATATATCTATCTAATTCGTAATATCAATTCAAATTTTTTTATGTTGAATTTATAATTTTTACTGAATTCTTATTATATGTAAATATTTTTTAACACACCCCATAAAAATCGTTTTTTTTTATCATTTAATTTTCATGCATTCTTTGATGTTCACTTCGTTTGAATATAATATAATTTTCTGTCATATTTTAGAATAAAAAAAAAAAAATAGCCATATAATGCATATTTTACAGCTCGAGATTATACAAAACCAGCAATTGATCGCCGCATTGCTGAGTTATTAAAAAGAAGAGTTGGTATAGGAGAACCTCTAGAAAGTTTACAAGATTTACTTGTATGTAAATAAAAATATAAATATTACTTTATTTAGATTTATTAATAATATATTTTATTTACATTTTGTTATTTTATTACTTTATTATTTATATAGACTAAATATAAAGAGAAACGAAATGCAAGACAAGCATTGCTTAAACCAACACATAGACATGTTTTGGAAGTTGCTGGTTTCATTTTAGATGTAAATCCTGATATTTTAGAAGAAGGAATTATTGATAAAGATGAATATATCAATGTTTTTGACAATTTTTTTCTTAAAAATGGGAAGAATGCAATTCTTATACACTTTCAACCAATGGAACCACCTCCATTTGGTATCATAAAAAAATTACATTTTTATTATATTTGTTAATATAATTTTTGAATATAATCAATAAAAAAAAAAAAAATGTGAAAAATTAGACTCAGGACGTTGGCTTCCGTATGATGGGCGTGAAGAACAAGTAATACGTTGCTGTGTTACTGATGGTACTACAGAACAATTTTCTGGTAGATGTGTCATAGTTTATAGATTAAGATCAGATATTGATTTTGAAACTAAACACCTTCTTGATGTATGTTCCCTTAATAATAATTTCATATATTATAACGTGTTTACAAACTGAAATTTTGGATAGGACACATATTATGCATACGCAGAAGTTGATCCTATATCTCAAAGTGCACTAGCAGCTATATCAGATTTGATTTTAAGGCTAAATTTGCCAGCAATAATTGCTAATAAAGTGTGGGGCGAATTATCAAGATATGAACATGCTGAAAAAGTGATAAATAATTTTATTTGTGATTTTAGAGATTTTTGGGAATTTTTAAGCAGTAAGCTATAAAATTTATAAAACTATATTTAAATTTATAGAATGAAATTATTATTTTTATATTTTTTCTAGCGACTAAAATAGATTTAGAAAATATAATAAAATTTTATACTGATTGGAATGTTTATAATAAATATTTATCAACGCCAGAAAAATATAAAAGTAGTTTTACTAATCCAGAAGCTATTACAGCTATAGAAAATAATGTTAACTTATGGAAGAAAAGTATGGAACGGGTAATGGAAAATTCATAAGTGTGTTTACCTTTTATTTTAAAGAAATAAATGAAATATTTATAATATTCTTTTTTTTTTTGCACAAACTATAGGCTGTTGTTCAAAGTCAACAATTACGTAGGGAAACAGAAACAATGGGACCAAATGCAGAGCTTAGTTATTGGAGGAGATTGCTTGCTCGTTTTTCATCAATCATTGAACATATAAAAAGTCCATATAGTCAAACATTTATAAATTTTTTAATGAATATAAAATCGAAACATATAAAAGTATGTTTATATTTATAAAATATCTTTTTTTAAATTGATCCAGAATTGATAAAAATTTCATATTGTCCATGTATAGAAGTGGAAGATATTGGAAGATCATGTTGAGACAATACAAATTCTTGCAGAAGATAATGTGAAATATTTATATGCACTAGAAAAATTTACACAACCCTTGTACAGACTTGATCCAACAAAAATGGGAGAATATTTGCCTCCGCTTATGTATGCTATACGAATGATATACGCTACTTCTCGATTTTTTAATACCAGACGAATGGTCACTGCAGTTTTTGTTAAAGTATAGACATAGTGAAAATTATAAATTTTCTTTTTTTATGTCATGCTTACATTTCTATAAAATTCTAACAATTTGACGATGAAATTTCAGATGACAAATCAAATGATTTTAGCATGCAAAGCATATTTAACAGAAGATGGCAAAATAAATATTTGGGATGATTCGAAATATGATATGATACTCAAAATAAAGGTGATAATATCTATTTAAAAAAATTCTAAATTCGATTTATTAAAAAATTATCTTATTCTTATATAGGATTGCATCACGTTGTGCGATCAATATTACAACTATTACAACGAAATGTGCAAAGAAGTGAAAGAATCTGTTGACGAGAAACCTTTCGAAGTATCCGAAATGTATGTTTTCGGAAAGTTTAACACCTTCAAAGATAGGATAATAAAAGTCAGCGATAAAAGATTCTATAAAATTGTTCTCGTAATTTAAAGCAATTATTATAAACGAATTAAACACATTTTCAGATTATGGATGTTTTACAAACAGCATTAAAGTACTTGCTCCTTTATAATTCCGCGATAGAGAAAATAGACGTATTTGCAAACAAGTTCTCGAGTTTTTTCCACGATATTACATCCAAAGATTATGATCCATTAAACCATAGGAAACCGTACTTCGATACTGATTACGATCAATACAAGAAAAACGTAGCAGAGACAATAGTAGAATTAAGAAACTTCTTTTATAACTGTGTATCGGAAACGCCAAACATAGCTGAAGCATTGAGAGTAGTATCAAGGTACTATTTACTCTATCATTTCCATGTTACGTTTATGTAACGTGTATATGATTCACACAGATTTCAGAAATTAAAGTTTAAAGAACTGAGAATCGACAGGAAATATTTAGAACTCATATCATTGTTTCAAAAAGAGATCGAAGATATACGAGACAGATATAACGAAGACAGATCAAATACTCCGATACCACGAAATGTTCCACCTATTGCCGGTCGTATTTTGTGGATCCGGCAACTTTTTAGACGCATTGAAACCTCTATGGAGATATACAAAGAATGTAAACGAGTGATTGTTCACGATCATATGCAAAGGTGTATTAGAATTTACAATGCCTTGATCACTGTCTTCATACACTATGAGATGATATATCACAAAGCATGGTATGACTCCTCAGAGATTGTGAGTATATATTATATATACAAATATTATAAAATTCGTAAAAACATTGTCTAACATTTTCTCAAACATATTGATTGATAGGTTCGATTGGCATTAGCTTCTCCTTTGATAATAAGGCATCCGGACACGAATAAGTATCACTTAAACTTTGATTCGTACATTATCGAAGTGATACGTGAATCAGAACATATGGCTAGGTTTGATTTGGAAGTACCTGATTTTATACAAATAATAACATTTTGTAAAGATAAGATTTTTTCGTCGTACGAAACTGTGAAACAATTGGTCAAAGAGAACGATACATTGAGGTATATGAGATTTAGTACAATTAAGTATGAAAAAATATTTTAAACGTTATTCAGATTTCAAAAAATATAGGAAAGTCATCTCTGTTTCATTTTTCAGACGGACAATACCGTTATTATTCTTAAATTTAATGAAAATTATTTTGGTCGATCTCGAGATTGCTTTTCAACCTTGCTTGTCCGTAATCACGTGGACGTCTTTGAATATCGACGAGGTATGCGACACCATAAAAAATGCGATTATGTCTGTGCAAATTTTTGTTAAAGAGATAAAAGACATGAAGGAAGCAAGAGTTGACGAAGTGTTCGAGTCTATATCAGAAGCAATCTTGATACAACTCACTGACGATCCAAAGCATCCAGTTCAACTTTTAGACGACAATATTGCTTATGGACTCTCGGTGTCCGCTGATCTTGAAATTAAATCATCTGCAGCAGAGAATGCAGTTATTACAATTATAAACAAATTTATACAATTTGTAATTGATGAGACTGTGCAAGATATTAAATATAATTGGCTGGATCGGGATAAGATACACAAGCATATTTCACAAACGAAATTGACTAAAGGAAAATACGAGCCAGGTTAACAATGCAATTGCTTTCTTTTGAAGATTCGTAAAAATTTTAGAAAAATATATCAAAAAAACTTTTTCTTATTTCTTACTTACTTTCTTAAATTTATACATAAATTTGACCGTGTAATATGATTTATATCTATTTATCGTAGGTTTCGCCCCCATCGAAAGAACCCGTAAAGTTAACATAACTAAAGTGCACAATGATTGTATGGAATTATTTGCGTATTTTCATAATAAACTCATAGAGGCATTGGTAAAGTGTACAAAAAATTCCTTGGAGATATTAAGGAAAAAAGTCACTGAAATGAGGTTCATTCAATGTCGTTTAATTTAATTTTATAACGAAATGATTCACGATGAAAAAACGATTTCTATCCTTTTCTTTACATAATTATAGCCATTTGAGAAAAGATAGCAGTGACGATAAAAAGAAATCGCCAATACTTTTAACGACATTCATCTTGCAAATACCAAATATCACGATAGTACCCGCGATAGAAGAGTTGCAATTTTATTTTGGAAAATTAGTGATCGCCATTGTTGAAAATCATAAAAAAATTACGGCGTGGGGACAGCGTGATATCAATAGAGAGTTAATAAGTGAAAGTTTGTTTCGTGCGAAACATATATAAAGATAATAAAACAATCATCTATCAATTATTATTCTTACATAAATATATTCTTTACGTATAGATGGACTAAAGAATTACTATCAACTTATATCCGATCATAAAGAAATAGTCCGATGTGTAATGAGCCTACAAGGTGCAATTATGACTATAAAAGAAGATATTGAAGAACTTTGCAATGTACTTCTATTTTCAGCTTTTTCTACTTTGAAATACCATAAACAAATTCAGAAATTTTTGTGCTCTAAGTTTTTAAAAAAATGTAGTTTGTAGTATTATAGAATTAATTATTATAATATTTGAGGGATACTACTGCATACAATTATAAATATTTCAATTATATAAACTACTAAACTAAATCTTTATATCTGTAATTTGTTCAAATACTTTTAATTATGAAAAAATTAAGATACTTTCAATCAATTAATTTTACTATTTTTCAATAGTATTATTTAAAGTATTCGTATATATGGAGCGAAGATAGGAACCAGATCGTGCAAAGTTTCGTTGATTCTGAACCTATCACTCAAGTAATCAAAGAAAAATTCGTGGAATATGAAGAATTAGTTGCTGAAATCGAAAATCTGCCAGACTCACATATAGTTGGGCCTATACAAATTAGCATGGGTAGTAAATTAATTTTCTTCTTCCTCATCGTTATGAATTTCATACGAGTGATCTTCAATTGATTAATTTCGTTTGATGAAATAAATTATTTTATTTCTTTTCGCAGAGAAATTGAAATTAGGATTTCTAGTTGAAGCGCGTGCATGGAAGACATTGTTGGGTCAAAAGTTATCTGCAACTTATAAAGAGAAATTAAAAAAGATCACCGAATATATAAATGAGAAAAATAAAGTTCTAGTTAGAGTAATAAAAGATTTGGAAGATGTGAGGATCGCGATGAAATGTTTAAGCGAAATAAGAGATGATTTTATAATGTTGGACATAGAATTGATCTTGATCGAGGAAACGTACACGTTGATGGGGAGATTCACCATCCCAATTTCAAAAGAAGAACAGGATATAGTGGACGGTTTACGATACAATTTTACAAACATGTTGAACATGGTAATGCTTATGAAAAACTTTTGATATCGTCTCGAATAATTGTTATGTATCAATGTATTATAAGGCGAAACAAGTTCAAGCAAAAATATGCGAAATGCAAGAGCCATTGAAAAAAGAATTGACCGATGGTGTTGCAATATTTAAACAAGAGGTGATAGATTTTGATCTTGATTTTGAATTGAATGGTCCAATGGTTGAAGGAATACCGGCCAAAGAAGCTAGTGATCGGTATCATCTATTAATAAATATTAGTATGATATATCATATATTTTGATTTATCATCATTTTCTCTTCCCCCTTAATATATTTTTCAAATGTTATATAAATAAATATCTTTCAAATTGCTTAAACGTTTATCATAAAAAGAAATAATTTTTATTATTACTTCATTTTTTCAGACTCATATTCTTTCAAGGCCGTCTTGACGAGTTATGGGAGAAGTTCGAGACTTACAGTAGCGGTGAAAGTTTATTCGGCATTGAGATAACAGATTATCCGCCTCTTCATCAAAGGAAAAGAGAAATTAATTTGCTGCAGAAGTTATACGGTTTGTATTTGCAAGTGATACGAACGATCGACAGTTACTATGATATACCTTGGGCCGATATCGATATCGAAGCTATAGTGGCCGAGTTAGGCGAATTTCAGAACAGGTGAGCCCATATTATTGTATTATTGTATTATCATAATACGTGTGCAAATATATTTGTATTGACACGTAATTTGATTTTGATGCAATCTTGTGCTAGATGTCGACGATTACCCAAAGCTATGAGAAATTGGCCAGCTTACATCGATTTGAAGAAGAAGATCGACGACTTTAACGAGACTTGTCCATTGTTAGAGATGATGGCTAATAAAGCGATGCAGCCCAGACATTGGGAAAGAATGTCGAAATTGTGCAAATATCATTTTGATGTTGAATCGGAGACATTTACTCTGGCATGCGTGATGCAAGCACCTTTGTTGAAGTACAAAGATGAAGTCGAGGTATTGATCAGACTGAAACAAATTGATATATTTATTTTAATTATAAACATTTATAAACATATTTATAAATATTCAGGATATATGCATCAGTGCGGTGAAAGAGCAAGATATAGATAGCAAATTAAAACAAATAATAGCAGAATGGGCTATTGTGGATTTACAATTCGCTCCTTTCAAACAAAGAGGAGATTTATTATTGAAAGGTATAGAAACAATGGAGATAATATCTCAACTCGAAGATAGTTTGATGATCATTAGTTCGCTTTTGGCAAATCGGTAATGAAACTTATTTTTTAATAACAAAAAAAAAAATTAATTGACATTGAATTAAACAATATTGGTTTCTTAAATATGATTCTTAATTTAGATATAATGCACCTTTCAAAAAAGAGATACAATTGTGGCAAAGTAAACTTAGCAATACCTCTGAAATTCTAGCAAAATGGTTAACTGTACAGAATTTATGGGCTTACTTAGAAGCAGTATTCATTGGCGGAGATATATCGAAACAACTTCCTGCAGAGGCGAAACGTTTTAATGTAATAATGAAATAAAGTAAATTCTAAAGATCAGAGAATGTAAATTATATGTTTCTATACGTTTTAGAATATTGATAAATCATGGGTAAAGATTATGTATCGAGCACGTGAAAGAATGAACGCTGTGGAAGTGTGCACAGGAGACGAAACGATGCAACAATTTTTACCACATTTATTGGAACAGTTAGAATCCTGTCAGAAATCTCTCAGCGGGTATAAAAATTGTTTCAAATATCTTAACTTTATCATCTGATATGATTAAAATCATAATAAAATAAAATATTCTTTACAGATACTTGGAAACGAAACGAAGCATATTTCCAAGATTTTGCTTCATATCAGATCCTACATTGTTGGAGATACTTGGTCAAGCAGCTGATTGTCACACTATACAGAAATATCTCGATGGTTTCTTTGACAATATTGGAAGAGTAATATATAAACTATTTGAGTGAAATCTTGCCAAGTGATAAGACTCTTTTAACTTTTTTAGACCTTTTTCATTTACAGTTAGAGTTTCATGAAAAAGAATATGAAAGAATTGTGGCTATGTATTCTCGTGAAAATGAGAAAGTTATATTAGAGAAAGATGTTATATGTACAGGGGGTGTAGAAAATTGGTTGAACACTTTGTTATTAGTTCATCAATTTTCGGTAGGCAGTGTAATTTCTCAAGGATTGATAACTCTTGCTAGTGAAGATTTTGATCCCATAGCATTGATAGATAATACTATTTTACAAGTAAATTTAACCAAGTGTTAAATAAACAAAAAATTCGACTTTGCATAAATAAGATAGTTCGAGCGTTTTCTTTTTTCTCTCTGAAAATTATATTATATTTTGTAGGTAGGATTGTTAGGTTTGCAAGTCTTATGGACTCGTGATTCTGAAATAGCTCTTACTACAGTAAAACGAGACAGAGGAATAATGAAGCGGACGAATCAATGGTTTCTAGACTTATTGAACAGTCTCATTGAAGTGACTGTCAAAGATTTGACGAAATATGCGAGATCGAAATACGAGGCCTTAATTACTATTCATGTACATCAAAGGTATAATGTAAATGCAAATCTAATTATATTCCATGTCACTAGAAAATTGAAAATTTCATTCATGATAAAAAGAACGAGAAATCTGCATTTATATTTAAGAATATAAACCAGTTTCTATCCTTTGTATTGTAAGAAGAAACAGAAGAAAAGACATTGACATTACTTCAAATTTTACATTCCAATTCCATTTTTTTACGGAATTTTTTAGAGACATGTTCGACGACATGTGCACTCTCAGAATTCGCAATGTGAACGATTTCGAATGGTTGAAGCAATGTAGATATTATTATAATCCTGAGACGGAAGAAGTTCCTATACAAATCACAGACATTGATTTTATCTATCAAAATGAGTTTCTAGGATGTACCGACCGACTTGCTATTACTCCTCTTACTGATAGATGCTACATAACATTAGCTCAAGCTGTGGGTAAGATAAATATTTCTTTTATATATTAAATCTAAGAAATAATTTCCAATTATTGATATATATATATTTAAAATTTCAAACCTTTAGGTATGAATTTTGGTGGTGCACCCGCGGGACCAGCCGGCACTGGTAAAACGGAAACCACAAAGGATATGGGGAAAGCACTTGGAAAATACGTGGTGGTATTTAATTGCTCCGACCAAATGGATTTCCGCGGTCTAGGTAGAATATTTAAAGGATTAGCCATGTCTGGATCCTGGGGCTGCTTCGACGAGTTTAACCGTATCGATTTACCGGTTTTGTCGGTCGCTGCTCAGCAAATAGCAATCGTGCTCACTGCAAGAAAAGAAAGAAAAACAATTTTTCTTTTTAGGTATATATATGTTAGATTATATTATATTTATATTTCAAGGGATATTCAAGGATATTTTTGCAATTAGATCGTTTAAAAATCAGCCTTGCCTTTTCTTTAATTTTTATTGAATAAAAAGTACTTACGTTATTTGTATTAGTGATATATAATCTTATTGAAATATTTTCATATTTTAAGATTAATTTATATAATACAAAATATATATTGTATAGCGATGGCGAAATGTACAAATTAAACTATGAGCTTGGAATTTTTATCACTATGAATCCTGGCTATGCTGGTCGTCAAGAATTGCCGGAAAATTTAAAGATACAGTTCAGAAGTGTATCTATGATGGTTCCTGATAGACAAGTATCATTATACAGAAATAATACAATACGTGTTATTTACTGAATGAATTTATAATAAATATGCTTCTGCTTAGATAATTATGCGTGTGAAATTGGCAGCTTGTGGTTTCAAAGAAAACGTTATATTAGCACGAAAGTTTTTCACCCTGTACAAACTGTGCGAGGAGCAATTAAGCAAGCAAGTACATTACGATTTCGGTTTAAGAAATATATTATCTTGCTTGCGAACTCTTGGTGCACAAAAACGAGCGAATCCATTGGATTCCGAGGAAACCACTTTAATGAGAGTTTTGAGGTGAAACAATTACGATTCTGAAAAATCTTAATAATGTTAATAAAAAAAAAAATAAAATATTTTTAATTATAAACATTACAGAGATATGAATCTATCAAAATTGGTAGACGAAGACGAACCTTTGTTCATGTCCCTTATCGAAGATATGTTCCCAGGAATAAAGATCAAGGTTCACGTATACAAAGAATTGCAAAAGGCGATCGCAAATGCAACTGTTGCACTTGGTATAATGAATAATCCCGAATGGAATTTGAAGACGGTCCAAGTATGCAGCACAACTTTAAAAATAATTCAAGATGATAATATCCCGCGTATTTCCAGTTGTATGAAACTTCTCTGGTTCGCCATGGTTTAATGGTGCTTGGTCCAACAGGATCTGGAAAAACTATGTGTATGTGGGCGCTTATGAAAGCTTTAACAGAGATGGGTATGCCTCATAAAGAAGTCAGAATGAATCCTAAAGTTAGTTTTTAGTTCAAACTCGTTAAACTTTGATTACTTTGATCGGATGAATGTAAATAACAAGCAATTGTTTTTAGGCCATAACCGCCTCCCAAATGTTCGGTAAATTGGATGTAGCGACGAATGATTGGACAGACGGTATTTTCTCAATAATATGGAGAAGATCGACGCAGACCAAGAAAACGGAGAATTTATGGATGGTTTTGGACGGCCCTGTGGATGCTGTATGGATCGAGAATTTAAATTCGGTGCTGGATGATAATAAGACGCTGACTCTAGCGAATGGCGATCGCATAATCATGGCGGCGAACACTAAATTGGTCTTTGAACCAGATAATGTCGATAATGCATCGCCAGCCACGATATCCCGTATGGGTATGGTGTTCATAAGTGCTTCTGTACTCAAATGGTATACCATTCTGCAGGTGATGAGAATATCCTGAAAATTATATAATTTTAACTATTCTTTTTTTTTTTTTCTTTTTGGTATTTAATTTGGTATGGAATAATTTTTTTCCTATTAATACTTAGGGATGGTTCAAGAAACAACCACCTGCATTGGTAGAGATATTGAATAATTTATTCAATAAAATTTATAACGACGCTCATTTATTCGTTCAAACGAGGCTTCCTGTAAAAATGGCTATTTTGGAAGCTATGTATATAAGACAATGTATTGATCTATTAGATGGCTTGCTTTATGTGAATAAAGATGTAACTAGTATGTATTTTTTTTTTTTCATTTGTATAATTTATTTGTGAAAGAAAGAATTTTGATTCCAATTCATGATATTCAGAAATCCTTCCTGATTTTCATGTGGAAAGGATATTCCTCTTCTCGCTTATGTGGACTTTGAGCGCTGCATTGGAAATAGAAGAACGTAATCAATTGCAAGAATTTGTACTTCTTCACGAATCGAAGTGTCATTGGCCAATATGCAATGTGATTACATAATACTTATTATGGAGATAAGAATAATTATATTAATATATATATTGATAATTATAGGACGACGAAACCATTTTTGAATACTTGGTATCAGAAGATGGACAATGGATACATTGGTCTGAAAAAGTTCCACAGTTCATTTATCCACGAGATAAAATTATCAAATACTATACTATTCTTGTTCCTAACATAGACAATACAAGGACCATGTTTCTGGTTGAAACAATTGCAAAACAAGGAAAAGCAGTGTTGCTTATAGGTATGAACTCTATTTCTCATTTATTTTAAAACTCTATTACTTGATTATCACAGGAGAGCAAGGTACTGCAAAAACAGTCATAATCAAAAGCTACATGTCCCACTATAATCCGGAAGAGCATCTGTGCAAATCCTTTAGTTTTTCTTCCGCGTCCACTCCTAATATGGTTCAAGTAATTAATTTCAAATTGTATTAAAAATTATACTCAATGATACTTTTCCTGTTAACAGAATTAACGTTTTGTTTAGAGGGTTTTCGAAAGTTACGTGGAGAAAAGAGTGGGAACCACTTATGGTCCTCCGGGTGGCCGAAAAATGACCATTTTCATCGATGATATAAATATGCCAGAAATAAATGAATGGGGAGATCAAATTACAAATGAGATTGTCCGTCAACTGATGGAGTATGGAGGTTTTTACTCTTTGGATAAGCCTGGTGATTTCTCTACTATACAAGATATCCAAATACTCGCCGCCATGATTCATCCAGGCGGAGGTAGAAATGATATACCGCCAAGATTGAAAAGACAATTTAATATTTTTAACTGTACATTGCCATCGAATAAATCCATGGATACGATTTTTAGTAAGAACATATTGCTGAAATTGATATATTATATTAATTAAATTATATATATTATTTACTTAAAATCGGTATCAACATTGAATCTTTTACAAATAAATTATTCCTTTTTTTTCCATATAATATGATTTCGTTATAATAATGATAAAAATATTATATTTAACAAAATTTAAATATTTAAAAAATGTATAGGAAGCATTGGAGAAGGATACTTCTGCATTAACAGATTCAATGAAGAGATAGTGGAATTCTTGCCAAAATTGATACCTCTGACGAGAGTTTTATGGCAACAGACTAAGATAAAAATGTTACCCACACCGGCAAAATTCCATTACGTTTTTAATTTAAGAGATTTATCTCGAATTTGGGAAGGTATTCTTAGAATCGAGAGAGCCGAATGCGATTCTAGAACCAGACTATTGAAGCTCTGGGAGCACGAGTGTACTCGTGTAATTGCGGATCGGTCGGTTATTATGCATTTGATTAATTTCTTCCAGTGAATTGATATATAATCTTTTCTTACTTATTTTCATTATTAGATTTACAAGCGAGGAGGATACTACGTGGTTCGTGAATACATTAAGACGAACAGCTGAGAAGATGTTAGGTCCAGATTTTATTTTCTATGATCCCGTAGAGACATATTTTGTAAATTTTCTACGTGAACCACCGGAACCTACCGGAGATGAGCCAGAAGATTTTGTTTTCGAGGCGCCAAAAATTTATGAAGAAATGCCAAGGTTTTTTTTGTTTTAAAAAGTCACTTCAATCTAATCACGTGTCATTAAAAATTATAACAAGATTAATTAATTGAAAATATACCTTTTTACAGTTTTGAATTTGTGATCGCAAAGGTCGAACAAAATATGGAACAATTCAACGAATACATTCGAGGGTTAACTCTTGATTTAGTATTCTTCCATGATGCTTTGGTACATTTGATGCGAATATCGAGAATCCTGGGTGTTCCTCGAAGCAATGCGATGCTGGTGGGAGTTGGAGGATCAGGCAAACAAAGTCTCACTCGTCTTGCCGCTTTTATTGCCGGCTTTAACTTTTTCCAGATTGTATTAACCAGGTAATTAACGAAAGAACTTCAAGATCAAATGTTCCATTAGACCGTTTGCGAATATATTCGTACAACCTGTGGTGATAAAAAGCAACAAGTATTCGATTAATCTTTATCTTTATTAGGATTTATAATGTTCCAAGTTTATTGGAGGATATAAGAAAAGTGTATCATGCAGCTGGTACAGGGAGCAAAGGGCAGACATTTATATTTACCGATAATGAAATAAAAGAGGAAGCTTTCCTGGAATACATTAACAATATATTAAGCGTTGGAGAGATTGCAGGTCTGTTCCCAGCTGATGAAATGGATGACATCCGAACGACAGTGACTCCTATGATGAAGCATGACGATCCAAGACGACCACCAACTCCTGATAATCTTTATGATTATTTTTTGACACGTGCAAAGGACAATCTGCACATGGTTTTATGCTTTTCACCAGTAAGTATAACTTATCATTATTATTATTTTTATTTTTTAATCGAAGATTATAAAAAGCAAATCATATTATCACATTTGTGAATTACAGGTTGGTGAAAAGTTCAGATCTCGTTCATTAAAATTCCCTGGTCTTATATCCGGTTGTACGCTAAATTGGTTTTGGAAATGGCCCATTGATGCTTTATACGCGGTCAGTGGTCATTTCTTGGAAGGATATAAAATTATAGCTAGTCCAGAAGTAAAACAACAATTGGTAGAAGTTATGGGAGACATCCACAATTATATAAACGATATATGCGTGCAATACTTTGAAAGGTATATTAATTATCATGTTACTATACTTGCGATTATAATATTATTAATATTCTATTGTAATTCATTTTTTTATACATAGAATATTTTTTTTTCCTAAACAGATTTCGAAGACAAGTATACGTCACTCCAAAATCATTCTTAACATTTCTAAATGGATATAAAACACTTTACAAGCAACGTTTGGATAATATTAACACTCTTGCATTTCGTATGAGCAGTGGTTTAAGTAAGTTAGTCGATGCTGCGGCTCAAGTTGACGAATTACGTAAAGTTCTTGAGAAAAATCAGCAAGAGATCGCTGAGAAAAATGTGCAAGTCGAAGCTGTTCGTATTTCTCTTTTGCATTAACATTTCTTATTTTTCTTATTATTATCACACGTTTTTATTATATCGTTCCTTTAGATTTTAGTTACTGTAAATCAAAAAAAGAAAGAAGCAGAAACGGTAAAGGCACAAGTGCAAGTTTCTAAGGATGAGGCAGAAACTATTTTGAAATCGATTGCAAAAGACAAAGCGGTAGCGGAACAAAAATTGAAAGCTGCTGAGCCTGCTTTATTGGCAGCAGAAGCTGCCTTGCAAGTCGGTTTCTTTTTAATAAAATTTACACTTTTTCTTGAAATTGATTTTATATAATTTTATGAAACTTTTTAGACTATAAAAGCTGCCGACATTGCTACAGTGAGGAAATTAGGAAAACCACCATATCTGATTACTCTTATCATGGATTGCGTGATAATATTGTTTGGAAGAAAATTGGAGCCCGTTAAACCTGATTATGAGCATCAATTTTTGAGTCCTTCATGGGGTGAAGCATTAAAGGTAAGTTGTTTGTTTCAGAAAGTTTTAATAAGTATCCATTTTATATATAAGATTCTTTATAGATGATGGCTGATGTTAGATTTCTATACAATTTGCAACATTTCCCGAAGGATAACATCAACGCTGAAACTATCGATTTAATGCAACCATACTTGAATTATCATTTATACACGTATGAAGCTGCATTGCAAGCTTGTGGAAATGTTGCTGGTCTCATTCAATGGACCATTTCTATGGTTACGTTTTATGGGATAATAAAGATGTTCTTCCTTTAAAAGTATTTTTCATTTTAATCATTAAAAATATAAAATTTATCCTTATTCAAACTTCCTGTATTTACAAAAATTTTTGAATTCAGGCAAATTTGGCAGTGCAAGAGAGTAAATATGAAAAAGCAAATAAAAATCTAATGGAAGCTGAAAGTCTTTTGAGAGAAAAAGACGAAGATTTGAAAGTCGTACAGAAGGAGTTCGATGCCGTGATGGAAGAACGCCAAGTAATTTATAAAATATTAAGAATATATGAGTTTTTAAGATCTCGACATTAACATTGAGTTGAAAATTTTTCTTAATTTTGAAAATCAGATTTTCAGAATTTTGAAAATTTGCCATGTTATTTCTTTTTTCTACTTTTCTATGTTTTTTATATTTATTAAATTAAATAATAAATATTTTATCTTTCTACCTGTTAGAAAATAATTGATTTAGCCGAAATTTGCCAAGCAAAAACGGACACCGCCACAGCAATGATAGAAGGTCTTTCTGGCGAAAGAATAAGATGGACGGAGCAATTGACTGCATTTAAATCGGAAATTGATCGTTTGGTCGGCGATATATTGATCCTAATAGGTTTCTTATCATATTGTGGACCCTTTAATCAAGAATTCAGAACCATGGTGCAAAGGCAATGGTTTGAATTTATCCAGAATCGAAAAATTCCAATTTCTCTCGTGATAAATATTACAGCCAGTTTGATCGATACTGCTACCGTGGGTGAAAAATCTGAAAAAATTATTATTATTATTAATCATATTATCCGGTGAAATTATAAATTTGATTTTTTAAAGATTGGAGAATGGAATTTGCAAGGCCTTCCAACGGATGATTTATCTATTCAAAATGGAATTATAGTAACACAAGCACATAGATATCCTCTTTTAATTGATCCACAATTGCAAGGTAAAGCTTGGATCAGGAAGAAGGAGGCAGAATTTTATTTACAGGTAAAATTTTTTTTCGTCAAAGAAACAATTATATTATTATAAAATTTTAATTTATCTTAATGTTCCATTTTAGCCCACGTTTCTTGCACACAAATATTTTAGAAATCATTTGGAAGATTGTGTTTCTTTAGGTCGTCCATTGTTGATCGAAGATGTAGGAGAGGATTTGGATCCTGTTTTAGATAATTTGTTAGAACATAATTTTATAAAAATAGGAACTACTTTGAAGGTAATATTTAAATTCTTTCATAAAAGATCCGATTATAAAAATATTGATATATTTCCACAGGTAAAATTAGGTGATAAAGAAGTGGATATTCATAAGGATTTTAGACTTTACATCACTACGAAGTTACCGAATCCAGTATATACACCAGAAATATTTGCACGTGCTGCTATAATTGATTTTACGGTCACTATAAAAGGTAACTTTTACAATTTAAACAAATAATTTCTAATAAAGATAGAATACTTATTATTTCTTTCCTATATATTTATAGGATTAGAAGATCAATTATTGGGAAGAGTTATTTTAACAGAGAAAAAAGAATTAGAAACAGAAAAAACACAATTGATAGCAGATGTAACTGCAAACAATAGAAAGATCAAAGAATTGGAAGCTAATCTTTTGCATAAATTGACCACCGTAGAAGTGTGTATTTATCTTATGTATAATCATTATTTATAATTATTATTTATAAATTTTATTAATTTTTTTCATCTTTTCAATTTTTAGGGACCTTTAATAGAAGATGTAGAATTAATGTCTGTTTTAAATATAACGAAACAAACTGCAGCTGAGATCAATGAAAAATTAAGTATCGCCAAAGATACGGAATTAAGAATTGATACAGCACGTGAAGAATTTCGGCCAGTCGCGACACGTGGAAGTGTTTTATACTTTTTAATTTGCGATATGTCTTTAGTCAATTGCATGTATCAAACATCACTCGTCCAATTCTTGGAACGTTTCGATCTTTCTATGGATAGGTTTATATTACATGAATAGTATAATATTAAATAAGCGATAAAGAATTGGATATCAAATGATATCAAAATCATTGGTTATTTTAGATCTGAAAAGAGTCCAGTTACTCAAAGAAGAATCAATTTTATCATCGAGTATCTCACCTTTGAATTTTTAAATATAAAGCAAGGGGCCTTTATGAGATTCATAAATACATGTACATTTTATTAATGACGTTAAAGATTGATTTACAACGGGAATTTATTAATCATGAAGAATTTCAATACTTCATAAAAGGTGGTGCAGCCTTAGATTTGAATACTGTTACGCCAAAACCTTGCAAATGGATTACTGATATGACTTGGCTTAATTTAATCGCATTATCTGCCTTAAGACACTTTCAATACATTCCTTCTCAAATACCAGCATCTGAAAAACAATGGAAACAATGGTTTGATAAACCTACTCCAGAAGAAGAAGTAATACCAAATGGCTATAACAATTTAGATACTTTTCGTCGTTTATTGTTAATTAGGTTGTTTTAATTTAATGTTGTTTAATTTACTTTTAAATGTTTACATCAATGGATATACTTAACATATTATTAATTTTAGAGCATGGTGTACAGATAGAACTCTACCACAATCGCGAAAATATATATCAAGTTCTTTGGGAGAAAGATATGCAGAACCTGTAATTACACTTTTTGATGTAATGCATAGTGAATCAAGGCCAAACACTCCAATGATTTGTTTTCTAAGTATGGGATCCGATCCTACACCTGCTATAGAACACCTTGCTAAGAAACTAGAGATTGTATGTAAAAGTATCTCAATGGGACAAGGACAAGAAGTCCATGCAAGAAGATTACTTCAAAGCGCAAAAACTGAAGTTCGTTTTTATGAAAAATTTACATAAAATAAGACAGAAAATGAATATATAATTTATAGGGTTTCTGGGCATTATGTCAAAATTGCCATTTGGGTTTGGAATATATGTCTGAATTAGTTAACTTTCTTTTGGAAATGGAAGACTCACATCCTGATTTTCGCATATGGATCACCACAGAACCGCATAAAAATTTTCCAATATCTCTTTTACAAATGTCTATAAAATTTACTTATGAGCCTCCAAGAGGTAAAAAAGAATAATTTTATTTTTTATTTCTATTTCTATTTTTTCTGTTTATTTTAGGAATAAGAGCAGGTTTACTTGCTACATATAGTGGAATGCATCAAGAAATGTTAGATCAATGTGATGCTTGGCAATATATACCAATTATATACACAATATCATTTTTGCATACTGTTGTACAAGAAAGAAGAAAATTTGGTCCCCTTGGTTGGAATATACCATATGAATTTAATATGTCTGATTGGTTGGCATCTTGTATATTTATTAACAATTATTTAAATGAGTTTGATGTAAAACTAGGAATTAGTTGGCATACTGTAAGGTAATACAAAAAAATAATACTTTCTAATCAATTAAATTGACAATTTAAAATGATTAATTTTTAGATATATGATAGCAGAAGTGCAATATGGAGGACGTGTCACAGATGATTATGATAAAAGATTGTTGAATACATTTACTAAACTGTGGTTTTATGATACTATTTTTGCAGAAGATTTTCAATTTTATAAAGGATATACAGTCTTAACTTATAAGACTGTACAAGAATATTTAAAAGTAATTGATGAAATGAATACTGTAGATCCACCACAAGTTTATGGTTTGCATGCTAATGCAAATATTACGTAAGAATATTTTTTCACAATGTTATAACTTTAGAGGAATTTATTGAAAAAATTTATACAAAAATTTACATCATGATTATAGATATATGGCTAACACTACACAGGCTGTTTTAGATAATATATTATCTGTACAACCAAAAGAAGCAGGTATAGTTGGTGCTGAAACCAGGGAAGTAGTTGTAACTAGACAAGCAAATGAAATGTTAAAAAAATTACCATCAAGTTATGATCCATATGAAGTGAAACAAAGATGTCAAATATTAGGAGCCACTGCACCAATGACTATTTTTTTGAGACAAGAAATTGATAGAATACAAGTAGTTATTAAATTAGTGGATGCTATGTTGAAAGATCTTTTACTTGCCATAGAAGGTGTTATCATAATGTGCGACGTAATTCTCTTTATGAATTTTATATTAAATATTTTATGAATTTTATATTAAATATTATATCATGATATAATATATAAATATATCACATTTAGGAATTAAGAGATGCTCTTGATAATATATATGATGCTAAAGTACCAAAGTTATGGATAGTAAAATCATGGGAGTCTGCTTCTCTTGGTTTTTGGTTTACTGAATTATTAGAAAGAAATAAACAATTTTCTTCTTGGTTATTTACTGGTAGACCAGCAAAATTTTGGATGACTGGATTTTTTAATCCTCAAGGTATGTGATAATTTATAGAAGAACTGTATAATTTAATTATAAAATTATGGAATTTTAATTATATAGGATTTTTGACTGCAATGAAGCAAGAAGTAACAAGAGCTCATAAAGGATGGGCTTTGGATAATGTAACTTTACATAATGAAGTTCTACGCTACACAGCAGAAGAAATTAAAACTCCACCTGCAGTATATTAATTATATTATATTTATATAATTTAATAATTTAGCAAATAATAACTATTATCTGTATAATTAGGAAGGAGTTTTTGTATATGGACTATTTCTTGAAGGAGCTGGATGGGATAAAAGGAATAATAGATTATGTGAATCAGCAAGTAAAATTCTATTTGTATTAATGCCCGTTATTCATATTTTTGCCTTATACAATGTTCCTGACAAAGACCCAAAATTATATCAAGTAAGTACTATAATCCATAACACAGAAATTTTAAATTTATTAATATATTCATGATATTTATAGTGTCCAGTATATAAAAAACCACAAAGAACATATGTGTTATTAATAACACCATTATGGTTACAAACGATTAGACCACCGGATTTTTGGATTCTACGTGGAGTTGCATTATTATGTGATATTAAATAAAATGAACATAAAATGCATGATACATTAAAATTATAAAATAATACGATAATCATTCGATTTCATAAATTATAAACAATTTCATGTCAAATTATCATATAAATAAATATAAATATTTATTTAATATTTACTTACCTTTAATTGAAGTTGACTAATATTTATTATTATAAGAATCATAATTGAGAATTTATATCGAATCTTATCGAAAACACATGATAATCCTTTCTTTCACATATATTTTCACGAAAAATTGCACAAGTAGACTTTGATTTATTCAAAAAATTTTTGTGAAACATAACGAATAAAAATATTAAAAACTTTTGAGTTGTTTAAAAACACTTGAAATAGTTAATAGTATTACCACTTTAAATCGCGATGAAAGCAGCGTATTTCATTATATTGACATTACATTTGGCAATGGATTATTTATACGATAAAATATTGAGAAATAAAAATTAAACATTAGCATTTCACAAACATATATTGAAAACTAATATAAATAATTTACTTTATTATATTATATTATTTAGTTATCGTAATTAATACGATATGTTATCAATAAAAATTATTCAAAATTACATTAATTTTATTGATTTATAATAATATTAAAAAGAATATAAAATTTTACATACAGATATTATTCGTAAATGGTCTCGATTATTACTTTAAAAATTAATTACCAATCGCCAATCATATTTCACGACTCAATTCAAATTATGCATACATATATAAATGAAGTACCACAAAATTATTTTCATAACTGATATTTGATTATTATATAAATATAAAATTAATAAATCAATTAAAATTTTCTGATTTTATTTTTTATTTATATCTTTTTCAATTTAATTGTAAATAATATAACATAAAAATTTAGATTTTTTATTGCGCATTATTAACAGCGCCGATCCTCCATATTTAAAAATTTTCAGTTATTATTTGAGTGCGTAATTGTTGAGTCATTGTGCGCGGTATTAGTCATTCAATTTTTCGAAAGATTCGTAAAATAGTGTAATTTCAAAAAAATATTACGATTCTATTACATTTTCATTATAATTATTTAATTTACTAACGTTTTCATTTGATGAAATTGTGAAATATTGTTACAATTACATCGGAATTGTGATACGCATGTGATAGAAGTGTTCCATTCGCTATATATATTTTTAGACATATGTTATATCATCTCGGAAATACTAGGCTTCAAAAAGAAATTTTTTTTTCACCTTTTTTTTTTTTGAACTTTGATTGTATTCTATAGTTTTCAAAGTATCATTATGTAATCTGGTCGATATATCTGTTTCTATCCACCTTCGCGCCTCCGTTAATAGCAGGCAATTTCGTGTTCCCTCGGCTAACCCGTGTAATTGAGCCAATGTGTGTTAATCAAGAGGCGCCTCATTTGCTACGGGGAACATTCTAAATTGCTTTTGTTACCTGAAATATCTTGCTGTAGCATACAGTTTGTGTATCGATTAGAAATTTCGCTATTTCTGAAAAGGAATAAAAAATCTTATAGAAAAAATCAACGTGACGTCATTTTTTTGGATATCATTATGGTGAGTTATGTTTTATGTTTATGATTTATATAATTTTTAAAAATTAAAAATTTTTAGATATTAAAAATAAAATAATAAATATATATATACACGTTGTGAAATAATTTATAAAGAATAGATATTGTAACATCATCTAGCGGTGAATAAATAAAACTAATTAGCAAAATTAAAAAATTCAAATCTTGCAGTTTCTAGGTTAAACTGAAAGATATAGAATAAATCTATCAGTATAAATCTATCTATATTATAACATTTTATCTTATAACAAAAATTATATAATGCTCAAAAAATAAAAATTATTTTACTAATTGAAATGATTTTGAATAATATATTAGAATACGAATTAAATTGGACAAGTTTCGATAGATTATATATGATTTAATAGATCTATATGTGCATATCGTAGTATATTTTATGTTCGTTTTTGCATGCAATTCGTAATCTTGCGATTAAAGAAATGTCGATCGAAATTCATAGTTAAATGTGGAAAATTTTAAATTTTATTTTTTAAAATAATACATGTATTTTTCTAAAGCATTTACAGATAAGTAAAGCTTAAGAATTTTTTATATAGATAATAGTGAAAGAAAAGTTTATATATTTATTCAGATAATATACATAGATGTTATTTTAAATTTGATTTTTCAATTCTTAAAATAATAAAGAGGTTATAAAATTATAATTTGCTTTAGAAAATTACGATTTATTCTGGGATATTATAACTATTAAGTAAATTTTATATAAGCATAAATGAATTTTTCTATTTTATTATATTCATCTTTTTTTTCAATTACTCTTTCGTTGGAAGCATTTTCACAATATCTCGAATAAATAATCCTGATAATTCTCGTGTCCACGAATCTTCCTTCCTAGTTTTCTTATTCTTTTTCACGCGGTCAGTTGTCCCGCGTGCACCATAAATCTTGACAAACTTATGTATGCGACTACTCTTCCATTCCCTGTCCAGTGCACGTCGCTATCGTTCGAAACTTTCCACTCAAAACAGCCACTACGAAGGTTAGAAAGTTCTCTCGAGCGAGTTCAGATCGGTCGCGCTATAGACATGAAACTTCTCTCGAATTCGTTCAAATATCCAGTTTTCCACCATTACATATACGTATATGATTAAATACGATGAACAATAATCATGAGATAAGCATTAATCGCGTAATGCATACACCAGGAATAGGAAACAGCCGTTCGAATCGTCATCAGGGATTTGGTATTCTAACTATCATCGAGGCAAATTTCCGGAACTCGTAGGTGGGGATTATAAATAATTAAGCCGATGCGATCAAAGTTAAGAGGAATTCGATAACTCGTAACCATAGTAGAGATTATGTCACTGGGTAGATAGGATGAAACATAAATAGATCATTGGAAGCGTACGTAAACGATTGCATTTCACGTTGTTCTCCCATGGATTTTAATCCAGAAATATATGGACAATGTGAAGGATTTGATTTAAGGGATTTGATTTAAGATTGATGTTTGAGAATTTAAGAGGAAGATTATTTCATGTAATCTTTCAATAATTGTTTGAAAGTAACTTTATAATTGGAATTTTAATAGAAAATCTTTTAACTTATATGAATGTCGGTTATTTAACATTTTATTTTTATTCTTAAATAGAATTGAATAGTGATTGATGGATATGATAAAGAAGATTATTTGGTACATAGAAAGATATTTGTTTCTGAATATTAATAATTTGATTTCTATTAATTAATTGTAACTTTGTTTGTTGTTTGTATGATATAATTTAGAATAGAGTATTATTTAGCTTATAATAAATATGTAGTCAATTAATCATTAGTATCTAAACAAACTCCATTATTTGTAATGGAGATGTAAAATTTTCAATTAATTCATTAATTTAAGATGCTTCGTCTTCTGTTATACAACATTGGCTAGAACACAGTTTCTAAATAGTTAAATTCTTTAATTCTAAGATTCAAAGAACAAATTTCTCTATAATTAATAATCTCCAACTCTAAATAATGTAAAACATCAAAAATTTTGAGGAAATAAGTTACTTGGTCATGTTCCTCAACTTCTAAAAGCATCATCTGTTTAGTTCTACAGTCAACTAGCTATAATTTTTCTGCCATGACATATTCTCATAACTTAAAAAAGCAAACACAATTTTATGAAAGATATCTCTAGACTTACCTACATATGTCTTATCACATTCGCTTCTTTTAAACTTTATTTCTATTATCTTTTCACCATTAAATTATTACGCCAACTAAGTTTATCAACTTTTATTCAATTCTTTTCACTGCGAAAATTCACAAGATAATTCACATTATAAAAGATGTAAAAAAGATACACACGTTTACCAATTTTTTTTTCATGGATAACGATTAATTGGTTAGTTGGCTAGCAGCGTATAGAAGAGCTTGTAGTAAGTGGCACACGAATGTTAAGCCGGTCGAGATTAACTGGCAGTGTAATTTAGCTAGTATACACTTTTCACGAATCAGGATAGCTTGATTCAGTATGCGGAAGTAAGCTATGCATCGACGACTGCTCGGTTCCGCTTGTCGAATGAATTTTTTTCGTTTCGCATTTATATGAGCGTTCGATTCACAGTACTGTGAAAAACACCTTCAAAACACTGTTTGCCCAGATAAATAATGTTTCGTGATTAACTGGATCTTTTCAGAAATATATGTATATGTATATATATACATGTATACGACTGGTTCGTGATTAGCTGAATTTTTGACAAGTGATTTAAATGGATATTCACCCATTAATTTAGTCGATCTTTAGATTTATATTCGGTTGTTGAACTTTCGAATATTTAGTTTGATAGAATTGATCTTAATAAGAAGATTGTATACTTTATTTAAAATAGAGAGACATATTTAATTCATACAGATTTATATATTATTTTTATATTTCTATTCAATTTATAAAATTCATTTTGATTATTTTATTGAATTATAAATATTTATATTTCTTTATTGATTTGTTCAAAAATAATATTATTATATTTTTATGCGTGGAATAATCTCTTCAGTCGATAGTTCATTCGTATCTATCGAAAACTACCCTTTCATTTGTATTTAATATTAATTTTTAAAGTTAATTTTCTCGAAAACGAAGCCTCAAGCGAAAAAATCGTAGTAAATATTTTCATTCGCCCATCCCTCCCCCGCCCCCCCCCCCAAAAATGAAAGATCTACGAGCAATCGAAACAGGTGGTCGAAACTCGTGCAAGATGCACTTATCCACAATGCTTCCTTCGCTAAACAATCGCTTTTGTAAGCCTCGAGTCATTTTTGTCGGCTTAGAAATAGGAAACACGCGTCAAAGACGGTTGTTTTCGTTTCTATTATCATCGTTATCTGCCAGGGAGAATTGTGACGTTGCGAGTGAAAACGAGACGACGGTAACCGGCAAACGGGCGCGGAAGATGAAGGAAGAGCGGCGAAAAAGAGAAAAACTGATAAAAAAAGAGAGACAAACGGGAGAACTGCTAACGAAGGATGGACAAAGAAAGACAGAGAAAGAGTTGCACAATGGGACGTATACTGTCCACGATGCGGACCATTAGCGGGATATATTCCTCCCTTTGGCGGGCATGCCATTAAATGAACAGTCTAGTGTGCGAGCTGGCTAGGTGCAAACGTGCAAGAGGCAAACGTTTCTCCCCTATCGTTGCACCTGATACTGTACACGGATGTTAGGGGTGCGTGTGCCACGGTTGCAAAATTATCCGATGTGCCGCATCGAAACTTTGGATATCACTGAGAGGAAGGGTTGGGCGAGGGTAGAGGGTGTGTTTATGCCAGTAGACGAGGTGAATGGAAACGAGTTCCCTTGCGAGATCCCGCGATAGAGAAACCCATTCATTCGACTCGGACTCTGGCTCGGTTCTGTTGGGACTTTTGTGATTGATAATGAGCCGAGAGGGTTGAAAAAGATTTGACGAGACAGGAAACGGAGAGATAGGAGTATCAAAATTTTTTTCAACTTCTTTCTGTTGTTGTTTTCTTTTTTTTGCGCGTATCTGTTTGTGCATCTATTTTTTTGGCGGGGGGGGGGGGATTTTTTGGGGAATCAGAGAAAATGGAAGGGTTGCTTTGATTAGATAATTAAAATTATTTAAACGTGAAAACATGATTGTTTTTTTGATAATCCATAAAATGAATGGAAGAGCTATTTATCTAATTTTATCTAATTTACAATCTAATTATACAATTCCAAAGCAAAGATTCGAATTTCTTTTACTCCTTACTCCTCTTCTTATATATTTATATTTCGTTACATATTTTCTAGAAAAAAAAAAGAAAATAAAAGAAACAGCTTTTCCTGATTTAATTTCATAATTCATTAAAGTTATTTCGTAATCTATCTTAAATTTATCTTACAAATTTATCGCACAAATATCATGTTATTTACTTTTCGAAGTAATAAAGTACTAAATTTCTCTAGAAATATCTTCATTTTCAATCTCTCTTAATTCCAACTTTCTAATGTTAAATTTTCATCTTGCACGTTCTATCTAATCTTCAACAAATGCAATATAGCGACTCTATAACGAGCCGTTCTTACGAGGCCGCGAAGCTTCGTTACATCCACCTGCTCGTATCCCTTTCGTTGCATACGAACGAGTTCGATATTCATTTCGAGGAATCTCTCTCGGATCTTCCAAGCCTCTATCCCTTGATATTGAAATTGTGCCATCTATACGACGTCTTCCGAGCACGTGTTAGATAAACACGGTATCCTCGAGATACATTCGAGTTCTCGTAACGAGCTCTCAAAATCCATGCAATGAATGCAAATTGACGGGGGATGATCTATGCTCGTTCTTCATCCCCCGTTCTTTTTTAAATCGTTTAAATTATTTTGCAAATGAAAAATTGACCGAATAAAATATTAAACATGATGCAAAGTGGGATTCGAAATTAACGAGATTAAGAAATAAAAGTTAAAATATTGCAGTGTAAAGAATTTAAAAGAAGCAAACATTGATTTTATTGATATAAAATATCGCGCAATAAAAATTTGCTGAAAATTGTATTAATAGGGAGGGATGGGATTGAAAGAGAAGGAGAATATTAAGGATATTTTATTATATTCTTTTTCTTATCGAATATTTGTTTAAGAAAATATTGCTATGAATTATAAAATGAAATTTTTTAATATTCAAAATTGTTCGTTATCCACGTGTAGATTTAGATTAGATAGTTCTTAATAAAGTGTATCGCGAATTATTAGTTATTCGAAATTTCTTGCAAAATAAAAAATATAAATTCTGAAAATTGAATGTAAAATGAAAGTAAAAAAATATAATACAAATTAGAAGAATCTGAAACATAGAAAAAAAAAAATTAGTGTAGTTCTTAGCTTGTCATCAGTTTCCAATGCTAATGTCTTAATAAAATTTTTTCAATATTTGCAATACAATCTTTTTAATATATTTTATAATAAATAAATGATATAGAGTGGAAACTGATGCCAATTGCCAGGATATATTATATATTAAAAAGAGTGAAAATATAAATTAATAAATAAATCAAAAAATAAACGTTTAAATAAATGAATGAATTTATAATATATAATTTATAATAATAAATGTTAATTAATAAATATTATAAAAAAAATAGTTAAAATTATTCTTTATTCTTTATTCTTTATACGAATTTAATTAAAGTGTTATAATATCGATGTATCTTTCAGAAAAGTTCGATAGGAAATGATTATTCTCGCGTGACCTGCCTCGTATTTATAGAAGATCGCGCGCCCCGAAATTCAACGAAAATATACGTTTCCTGCCGATTACATCGAAACTCATTTTCGAACATAATAATCAATAATTTATCAATTTTTATATTTTTATTATTAATTTATACATTTAACTTTCTATAATTTTAACAAATATAATAATTGATATAAATTTTTATAATTTAAAATTTATTTAACGAATTTTCTTGAATATTTTTTGAATAATTTGGAAATATTTTTTAATTTTTTTTTAATTTAAAATTATTAAACTATTTTTCTTTATTTCATTTTCTGGATTTTTCATAATATGAAAACTATGAAAACTTATTACTTTTAATACTCGTAAATTTTTATTTTATTTATCTGTTATTTATTATATCGTTTTTTAGCATTTTTTCTAACAATTACACATAATAAACTAATTTATGCATAATAAATTACGCTGTTTTACGGAATAATATTTTCAACAAATACTTTTCATATTTTCAAAAAAAAAGAAAAAAGATTTATTACACTTATAAATAATAAATTCAAATTTTATCTTAAGAATCTTTATATTATTTTTTATATTATCCATTTTAAGCTTGAAATATATAAAATCGATATTAATATATATATCGAATAACGGGAACAATCCAGTTAAAATTGAAAATCTTTTAGAGATAACAAATTTTTCATTTTTAAACGATAATATATATATATACACGTAGAAATGCAATAAATCTTATCCCTCTTATATTTTATGCAATATAATTTATTTCTCTTTTCAAATATAATAACATTTTACATTTTCTTTTTCATTCTACACTTTAAATTTGTTAAATTTAAAATAAATCAATTTGCGCAAACGTTTATTTTTACCGCGCCGATAAAAGATCGCTCGATAAACAAATCGTTTCGCGAACATCAGGCCGACAAGGGTGTCAATTAATCCGATTAGAATCCGATCTCCGCGGCGGACAAGGAAAACGACGGGCCACCTCGTGTCACCTCTATCCACAGGTGGCCAATTAATTTACAAGCGCACACACTTTACGTGACATCGATTGATATCCCCGGCGTGGCACCAAGTCGAGCCCTTCGGCCTATCGCAACCCTACGATGAGCCACCCTTTTCGAGTGTACCTACGAGGGGACAAAGGATAGAGGCGGTGGACGATGTACCGGGACCGAGTTACCTACTATCGGCCCCGTGTACGGCAAATGCGTCCATTGTTTCTTGGTTCAAGCGGATTTTCATGTCAAGAGGGGTGGGGAAGGCTTGTTCAACCCCCGTTTTCGGGGTTGATTTATTCGATGTTCGGGTTACTCGAGGCATGGTATTGGATAAAGTGTGACTTCGGCAAGTGTGGATCGATTTTGCTCGTAACGCCTCGATATTCATTTTTCCCCCTTTTTATCGATAATTGAACTCTTTACACGTTTTACAAGGATTAAATAATTTAAAAACTGTAGGTACGGACTTGTTGAGGTTTAAAAGTACAAATTCTTTAACAAGACGTTTATTTTTTCTTTTTTTTATTATAAAGTAGTTTAGATAGAATTAGCGATTATTTGCGTGACTCTGCATACTTATATGAAATTTCAATAGCATTATATGATTTATAATATTAATTATATTTTCACATTGGAATATTTCATTATGAAACATATATCAGTGAATTTTCTTTAAAATTCTTTTATCGATATGATTCGAAAGATGCAAATTCGCTACGTGAAAAAATACATTAACCCCTGCGTTGAAACGCAAAAATCTAAAGAATTCTTCTTCATCCTTCGAATTTCCTCTAAAACTATCTTCTCTCGAATATCATCTCGACTCGAGAAGTCTGGCGGAAAATCATCGAATTTCGTGCGGACGAGCAGGGAACAAAGCGTGTCGAAGGTGCGTTTTGCGAGTTCTTCTCACGGATTCCTTTTTTTCCTCCCCTTTCTTCTTCTTTTTCCTTCCTTCTCCCTCTTTTTCCTATTTTTCTCTTCCCACGAACACTTGTTGCACGCGACATCGTGGGCGTGAAATCGATTTCGCTGCGCCCGATATCCGGCGACAAGGAAAGGGGGTCATCCTGCGATTTTCCATCGCCGCGTGTTCACCCCTTTTCACCGCGGATAGCTTTCGTTCGAAATCCTGTCCCTCCTTTCAACCCCCTTCGAAAACCGAATCACGACCCCCAACTTCCGCTTCCCGTTTCCGCTTTTTCGGATTATCCATGCCAAGTTGGCCGCGAGGTCGCCGTGAATTCCGGTGAAATTGCATCCCTCGAAGCCGGACAACGACGCGATAATCCTTTGCTGCGGATGAAAAGAAGCGGAATCGAGCCTGGTAGACCGTGAACCGCGAAACAAGTTCGTCGAAGAGACGATTTTAGGGTTGGATCGAGTGATAGAATGGATAAAAAAAAAAAATAGTTTTTACGCTGTTCGCTTCGACTTTCAACAAGGAAAGAAACAGTAATCGTTCTTCAGTTTTTAAACAATTTAAAAGTCATTGTTCATAGTGGAAAAAAATCTTTCTATTCGTATAATATAATTTTTGATGAAGAAATTAGATTTGTCGAATAGATCGAAGAATTTATCTAAGGTAATTTATCTCACCTACCGAGAATTACTTTTTACACTGTGTTTTTAGATTAATCGTATTGGATATCGGTTGTTCTCACGTTTTTCTTACAATGTAATTAGAAAAAAACTTGGATTACAGGATTTCTTGAATTTGTTCTTGCCGGGAGATCTCGTTATGCAAAATGGCGGAATCGGTTCGTGAAAAAGAATCCTTAAACAGTTGATCTTATCTTACAACGTTTCTACTAATCTCGATGTTTGTCATTTAACTTTTTCCTCTTCTTTTTTCTTTTTAACTCGTAAACTTCCAATTTTGTGAAATTGTTCTAGAATTTTTCTTTCTTATTTTTTTCTTCTTCTTCTTCTTCTTCAATGAGAAACACCTTGGCCAGACGACTTGGTGGTTGCAGTCTCGCAAATCACTCGGGATCTCGTGTTACCTCGTTTTTCGTGACAAAACGTCATTAAAGTCCCGCTAATAAGGCGGGAAAGAAAATGTTCGTTCGGAGAAACTGATGAACTAAGACGATCGTCGAGAAACGGGAAACCCCGAAGAATGATGAGGTAGAGATAAATCTTTTTAATCGCCTGGAATAGGTTTAAATCTTGTTCCTACGATCTCTTTTTAATTCGAAGAAATAATACTCGATGGAAATTTCTAAGTGAAAATTGTAGTTCGAACATTGTAATTCTTATTTGTTATTATAATTGATAATATATGATCGATAATTTTTTTTCTTTGAAAGAGAACTGGAGATTATTTTAACGTTGATTTAATAATATCGATGCCTTCGTTCTTCTTGAATTGCGAAGTGGTGAGGTTGACGAAAATATAAATATCGTTTAATTAACTTGATTAAACGAGTTTTTTAATTTCAAACAGAGAAGATGCGTGTAACTTTCAATATCGTAATGAATTTCGAAAAAAAAAAAAAAAAGAAGAAATATAACGTTTTAATTAAACGAGATAATATTATTTCGCATTGTAAAAGTACAATGTATTTATGTAATATTTAATAATCGTTAATTTTAACGCTAAATAAATAGAGTTATAACATATTGTTTACTGGAAAATTAGCAGTTGTACATATTGATTGCACATACATACAGGTATATTACACGTATATTTACTTCGATTAATAAAGCAAATGATATATTTTTTTTTTAAAATGAAGAAACACAATTCTCTTATAAATTCATTTATCTAAATGTTTTCAATTAAATTCGTATAACATAGAGAATTTTTAATCATATTTTTAATCATTATTTTTTAATCGTTTTACTTTTTAATTATTTTTTATTTATTCATTTATACATATTCATTTATTTAAACGTTTATTTTTCTATTTATTTATTAATTTGCATTTTCATTTATTTAATTTCTCCATTCATTTGAATATTTATTTAATAATTTATAGTTCCGTTTATTCCAATTTATTTGTATTTTTAAGTTTTAATTTTATTTAATTTTTTATTTTTATTTTACTTTTATTTTAAATTTTTTACTTGTTTTAATTTTTTATTTTTAAATTGCTTTTAATTTCAACTTTTAATTTATTTTTAATTTAAATTGCAATTAATTTGCTTTAATTTTCATTTTTTTATTTTGCTTTTTTATTTTAATTTCCGATTTAATTTTATTCAATTTTTTATTTGTAATTTTAATCTTTACTTTTTTTATTTGCTTTTTAATTTTGCTTTAATTTTAATTTTTAATTTAATTTTATTTTATTTTTACTTTAAATGAATTATTTTTTCAATTCTGCGAAATCTTTATATTTAGTTTTCTTCAACGAATTATCATTTCTTTATTTTTCTTATACACATTTGATGGAATCATTTGAAGAAATCCGATAATTCATAGATTCTGATTTTAAATTTAATCGTATTAAAAAATTTGTTAAATTTGTGTTTTTCGTCTATATCGTTCATTATCATAACACGTATATTTATTTGAATAGATTGTAAGTTGTTTAAAAGATAGACAATATTGAAATTAAATATTTTGCCGAATATTATTATTATTTATTCCATTTAGATTATTAAATTTAATTTTTCTCATAAATCTATAGTTTATCGATTACATTATCGAAAAAGAGAAATTGTTAAGACGCTTTCTCGATCTGTTCAACCGCCTCTGCAATTTATTTTATTCCATCGAATTACGAGTACACGATTATTTTCGAAAAAAGAAACAGGGAGGGGGAGAGAGAGAGAGAAAGAGAGACTTGTAAACGATAGTTTCTCGCAATTCTCTCTGTTTCGCTTCGAACAAGAGGATCAAGATTGTTAAAATTTCATTAGAAGTCTCTCGCCTTCGTCTTTCGTGTTACGTTTTCTTGACTGTGAAAAAATTAAATTACAGCCACCTTAAGAGGACGGATTTCGCGTCGCGATTCTCCGGCCGGACAGACACGAAACAAAAAGAATCCAATGCGAAGAAAATTCATTGGGAAAGTTTTTAATCCCATGGATAATTTATTTGGAAGAAAAAAAAGGATTTTCTTCTTTTGCAAAAACTTATATTGCGACTTGTTTTTTCTTCTTCTCGAGAAGAAGAAGAAGAAAAACAAGTGGAATTTTAAATATTGATTTTGAATTGCGTTTGTTAAAGATTGTTTAATGGAATCGTGCAACGTTCACGGGATGTTTCAAAGTTAGAGGATAGGGGATAACGTCGAGATTTTCAAGTGTTTTCTTCTTTCTCTTGCAATTTCTTTTTTTATTTACGGAAGGAAAAATATTTACAACTTTAAATATTAATCTTATCCATCCCATAATTGTTTGTTTAATAGAATCGCGTAATGGAATTGTGAAATATTTCAGAGTTACTGGGATAATAAGGAAATTAATATTTTTTTTAATGAAAAAGAAAAAAAGAATTTAAAAATATTAATTTTACTTTACAAAACTCTTTGCAATTTCATAATTTAACTTGGAACGTCGAAATCTTTCATTTATTCGTCTTTAGAGAGACGCCTCTCTAAATAAGCAACACGTCTCGTCTATTATTTCAAAATCGATTAAACCACGAATCCGAACATAAATAAACAAATATAATACCATTTCAAATATAATACCAATTCAAAAATACCATTTATTCGTAGAATCGATCAACAGAAAAAGCGCAAACTTATCTCGCACAAGATCTCCAAACCCACCATAGATATCAGTTCATCCGGACAACAAAAGAGAGCGACACCATTGTTCAAAAAGAGAGAGCTAGAGAGAGAGAGAGAGATATCTACAGTCTGACGAGGATAGTCAAGGGGGGAGGGATAGGTGGAGAGGGAGATGCGTCTGTGAAATTCAACCAAGCTGTTCCGCTGGTAATAATGGACGAGTGGCAAGCGTTGAAATGCAAATTAGAGAGCGGGTCGCGGACAGCTTGATACATGTGCGGGGATTGTGGTTTCGCGCGACGCGCAACGCCGCCTATATTCGCGGAATAAAGGAGTTGTTTTGGAGTTTTGCACGGTGCGCAGGAGGCGTTGGGCAGGGGGGAGGGGGGAGAGAGAGGGAGGTCATTATATAACGTCACGCGAAGCGCGTTACCGTTACGTCGTACCAACAACCGAGGGGTCTTGTCTCACCTGCGCGTATTATTATGGGTCAGAGCTAAGCCACACCGCAGGGAGAGGGGATTGTATGATCGTATTTCGTCTCGTGTCCTGACGTTTCTGGAAATGATCGTTGATCGCCACGAGTCTGCACAAAAGTCTCTCCCTTCGCCGCATTCAACGTGACAAAACGCGCAATTTCCATGACCCATTCCTCCGCTGATAATGCGTTACGCTTCGAGGAAGAGTGGGGGAGGGGGGGGGAAGGTGGGCGAGAGTGGATGGCTCGCGAGCAACGGAAATGAAAACGGCTGCGAGAGTAATACGCTGTGCCGCTGTCTTCCGCGTTAGCGCTGGGATCGACTGTCCCTCGTAGCTGTCTCTCTCTCTCTCTCTCTCTCTTTCTCTCTATGTTGCTAGGAAAAGAGAAAATAGCGTGTCGAGGATTTGAATATGGCGCGATAAAATGAAATGAGACGAGAGGAGTGGGACGTTATATTTTTAATGCGAGAGAATGCGGTGAATTTTTAAGAGAAATTTAGAATTTACAATGTTGCGCGTTATTGTACTTTTTAGTTGAGAATAAACAAATATAATTTTTTTAACAAACTCGTGTATAGAAACATATTCGAACTCGTTCGAATCGCGATATATATATATAAAAGTGAAAAAAGAGTTTTTAGATTTTTTAATAATTTTACGAAATAAATTGACTCGAGTTGAATAAGGATCCTTGTACGTTCTTTCTGACGAAATTATTAAACAAGTTATTTGGAAAATCGGTAAAAAATAGCATAGTTATCTTCATCAAACATACGTGGACTAATAGAAACATGTTCAAACTTGTTCACGTCAGCTTTTCTTAGGGTATAAGAAGATTATCAATAGCAATTTTGCACATTATAAACGATTCATCATTTTTGAAGCTTCATCTATTATTAAATCTCTACTCGACTCTCCTTATCTTTTCATGCCTGCACTCCTATATACCGTGTTATTCGGAATTCTGGGAATGCGATCGTCGCGCTGCCAGGATAATTTCTGCTTCTTGCTGTGTCGTCGTCCATTAACTCGAAACTACTGCCTCTGTTAGCCTATATTGGCTTGTTTTGCTATGATCCAAACTGTTTTGCGTATTTCCCAATTATGAATATCCGGCGAATATTTAGAATGGATGAAATTGATAGAAAGACTTGTACGAAGATATACATTTTCTTTTTCAATTCACGTGATTAATTTCCCCTTTAATGCTAATTCTCCAACTGGTTCGATGAATCTTTCTTTCCATTAGTGCATGCATGAAGTGCAAATAAAAAAAGTATTGTAAGTTTTACAAAATTCGTGTAAAAAAAAAAAAAAACACAGAGATCCAATCAAGGATTAATTCTCAACAATATTTCTTATAATTTCTCCACAAAATTATCACAAATGAACTTTCCTCTCGTTTCTCAAGCTTCTCGATTATGGCAACAAGGGTTAAGACGACTAGAGGGTGTTTTTTCGAAAAAATTGGGGGCGCAATTTGCGGGATCGAAAAGAGGACGGTGATCCTCGGTGTTCCTTCCTTCTCTCGCGGATTTATTGTTATGGTAACGCGAGCTGGAAGCCCCGGTTCCCATCAGGCTTCCCGTGTGTCCCGATTTCCGTGAAAAAACGGCGAATTCTTGCCCCGGCCCCCACGTGAATTTACAACACGCCCTGATGGCTCGCGAATTTATCCGGAATTAAATTACGACGGGTGACGGATGCTGTTTTTTAACACTGGATTTTTGCACAGTGATGTTTTTAACCGTGTACGCGTTTAAACGCCTCTGGGAAACATTTGTCTATAAAGAGGGGTGAAAAGGATGGAAAAAATTGCTTATCTTTTTATGCGAGGGGGAAAAAATGATAAATAAAACGAAAAACACATTTTTGCTATATTTCTGTTCCTCTCGAACGAGCAATTATTTGTATTGCATTGATTTAATCCACGAGACAATGCATTTTGAAAGATTATAATGAACGTAATACTTGTTTTATGGTACAAAACTTTTTTCATTTTCACAATTTGGTATAATATAATTTTTTTTACAAGTGGATGCTTAAAACACGTTTATTCCTTTAAATCACTCGCTATCCTTTAATTTTGTGAAACTTATTACGTAGGAAAGACAAGAAAACGATGACACGATGTAATAATAATCCTTTCCTTAATGCATTTAATGCAATAAAGGGAAAATAAGGGATGTTTGGTGGAAAAATTCGTTCGGATATAAAATAACAAATATCGTCGAGATATCTCCGTAAAAATTGTCACCGTACGCCACCGACAGTGAGAAGTCCATTCACCATCCGTTTAGCCACTTTCGCCAAATATCAATCGTCCTTTCATGGAAGAAACCGCCCCTGGAATGTCACTGTCTGTGGCAGGATTGTCGGAGGCCGTCTAATTTCTCAACGTTTTTCCGTTTATCCAACCCATCCGGGTTGTTCCGCTTGTCCTCGCGGGATAGGACGAATAAAAGGTGTGTAAATCGCACCAGTTTGAAATATGCGATGTCCGCAAGAAATTCAGACGGCGGTAAATCACTCGTCTCTTGTTTACGACAATGAGGCATGAACTTATATCCTTTTTTTCTCTCTTTTATCTCTGCGCGAATAAATGTACACGATATTCCTATATATATATATATATATATATATAGTATGTATAGAAGAAGA